GGAGCTACTGAAGCAGAGCAGCAGTGCTCAGAGAGATCTTCTGTAGGGCCCTGGGAAACTCCCTCCTCCGAGCTACTGAAATCCAGGGGTAATAATTAACCGAGTTAAGTGTTGAACTGTAATTGTAGCTGTGTGCCCTTCATGGGGTGCATGCATGTTAAAAATGTTTGCATTTAAAGGCTCTTTCTTGCAGCACTTTGCACACATTGGCTCGTAGTTTCTTTCGGCTGTAGGGATGAAGATCTTCTCTTGAAAGATGTGCAGGAAAATGAATTAGCTAAAACTGGAAATGGGAAAAGGATTTAAATTAAAGGGATGCAGGCCTGTTGCTTCAGAGGCGGGAAGCCCCAAGGGCTAGTGGTGGGTAGGCAGGAGGCTGCACCCCTGCTGCTGGAGAGGCAGTGGAACCCGGTGCTGTAAAGGGGTAAGACTGCAGAAAGGAGCAAGTGGGGAAAACCCCAGCTCTCTTCTGACAGGGACTGGAAAGTCCTGTTTGGAAAACTGGACAAGGAGTTGATCCTGGGAAAACCTGCGTGCTGGAGCAAGGGCAGGGAGGACAGCCAAACCTCCCAGGTGTTGGGGGGAGTTGCTGTTTCAACCACTCTGGGCTTTGGCTTCTTACATTATGGCCTGAAAAATGTCTCAGCATTTAAAGGGAGTCTTTTGGCCCTGATGTTATTGCTTCAGAGAGCTGCCTGAAAGGACGGGGAGGTGAGAGGTGCCAGATCTGTGACATGTGCTTGCTGGAGACAGGGAGAGGCTGTGCAGCGGCTGTCCCAGCAGTGCGTGCCGTCCCGGCTGGTGTGAGGGGACAGGACTTTCCCGATCCCTCATCCCTCAGGATCCTGCGCAGCTCTTGCTCTCCAGCAAAGCGCCAGTGCTGGGAGCACAGCAGTGGTGGAAAATCCCTTCCTCCACCCCCTCTGAAGTGAGGGCTGGCTTTTGTCCAGGGCTTTCGTTCCTGCCATCCCTGCACTCCGTTCTGCAGTTCTTTCTTCTAGGAACAACCAGATGCTTAATTATTTCCACAGCTCAGCTTCTGCAGAAAAATGATCTGTGCTGGGCCCCTGCCCAGCCCAGAGTCCACCATCATTGAAGATTTTCCATTGAAGTCACAAATGATACTTCTCCTCCTTTTCAGAGATCATGTGTCTTTCCTCAGGTTTTGTTGCTGGTTCCACCTTTTCCTTTCCTCACTCAACCGTCTTGTTCATCCGAATCTGAACTGAGGCTGTGAAGCAAAGCCAGCAACAGTGGGGCTGCCAATTTTGGGAATAGATGAAGGGACCTGGTGGCCTCACTGCCTTCTGGTGCATCAAGTCCTGCTGGGGCAGGCAGGTAGGTGTGTCTACAAATGGGATGCAGGGCACATGGTTGGTAAACACTGTCCACTGGCCCCTGTGCGGCCCTATAGTTCTTCTTGGTGCCTAAAATGCTAAGTAGTCAATAGGAAGCCCCTTCATAACATCAAGAGGATGAGGATGAGGACAGCAAGAGTGAATGCGCCCAAGATAGGACCGTGGCCCCTCGTGATGTCCAAGCCCACCAGCAGGCAGGTGGGCAGGCAGGTCCTGGGACTGCCCGTGCCACCCCTCTGCCGAGGGAGCTGAGACACCCACACCTATGTGTCAAACAGCCCACGCGAGGTGCGTGAGAGGAGCACGCCGCACCATCACCCAAGAGCAGCAGAACAAGCAGGCGAGGAGGGCGGTGAAAGGTTTTTGCTCACGACTGCAAAGGTCAGGCTGGTGCAGGAGCCAGTGGGAGGACGCAGCCTCCCCGTGCATGTCCCTAGCTGCAGGGTTGCCTTTTGACCTTGCTTTTAACACTTTCCAAAGCTGCAGTGAATGGAAGAGAAGGGTTCCAAATTTACTGGGGGAAAATCAGGTCCTGGGCTCTGCTCTCCACCATTGCTGCCCTGGCAGCCTGCATTTTATCTGTCACCACCACAAGGTTCTTGAGAAGTCCAGGGCTGAGGCTGAGTGAGCTAAAAGTCAGGAGAGCAGGGACTGAAGGTGGCCCCTGGGTTGTGGCTGGGGCAAGGGCGGCCTGAAAGGAGCTGGAGTGTGAGGAGGAAGAGGAGGGTGTGGGAGGAAACGGGGAGTTCAGCTCTTTGTGCGCAATATAAGGAAGTAAGGGAATATCCCTGTGGGACTAGCAAAGAGATTTACGACAATGGGCAGTGGGGAATGGCTGGAAACAAAAATGCAGCCTCATGCTGTGCAATGTCATGATGGGTGATTAAGTTCATGGTGAGCTGGTGTTTCAGAAGAAAAGGGAGGGGGAACCTGTGGAAAGGTGCTCACCCTGGAAGGGAGAAAAGAGAAGGCAGATGTGGACACAGGTGCCAAGGGCAGGAAGAGTGGAGGACAAAGGCATGGCAGGAGCTGAGGAAAGGAAGGAGGCTAATGGAGACAGGGTCAGAGTCAGGTAGCTGAAATTGAACTTCACAGGACCTTGATCTGCAGCAGTATGGCTGCCCTTGAAGGTTGCTGAGCCAGCCAGGGCAGGTGGCAAAGGTGCTGGGAGAGAATTTTGAACCCTGGGCCAGCACGGGGAAGCACTGGCAGGAGGATAAGCAAGAGCAAGCTAGTGTGCTCTGCTAAAAGCAGCCATGGCAGCTAAATAAGGAAAAAGTGATGCTGGCAGAATGACTGCATAAGGAGTTCTTTCTCCAAGTCCTACAAGTGGAACCATGCAACGTATCTGCCAGAGTGCCAAGAAGGTAGCATGAAGGCAGGGTATCATCAAAACCACTCTCAGAAGATCTTTCTAAAGGCATAGGTATGGAAAAGCCAGAAACAGGGTGGACATGCAGCAGTTAAGGGCACATGTTTGAAACAGGGGCTGTGGAGGGTGACCTATCGTGGACAATCTCGTTATATCATGAAGCGAACAGGCAAAGCCCTGCGCTGAATATCCCCATGTTAGCAATGCACAAATACACAACATACCCCAACCTATTTTGCTAACAAACACACATTCTCACATTAATCTCTGTCCTACTTGCTTTACCTGTGGTTCCGCCGCATATGATACTCGGTTACTTTCGCATGACTGGTGGAGGCAAACAGTACTATAACCAGCATGTGGTAGCTGGGCAATGATTTGTTTAGCTGCAAAACTTCCTTGTACAGTAAGGCATTTGCTTAATTTATTAAGTCATTATAGAATTCTTGCAAGGTTATAGCAGTACCTTCCTAAGATTCTGTTTGTCTGAACATTGCAATGGACAGCAGAGAACGTACCACTGCCTCTGAAACTACTTGAGCAGCCTGGTACTACTGATAACTGCACTTTCCTCCCTCCCTCTGGCCTTTGAATAAAAAGTATTTGCATTCAGATTGTATCTATTTAAATATTTGCATACCAGGTCCAGCCGTGTACCTGAGCACTTCCAGAACACGGATATCTATAGCTGGTGAATGCTTCCGCAGGGCCTTGACGGCATTTCCAGCTCCTGGTTTGCAAGGGGGGGCCACTGAAGTGTCGCTAATGAGTGGTACATTGCCTTTTCTATTTCCAACTGTGGCAACATTATGTTCAGTCGAGAAAGTCACTTGGGATTCTTAGCTGGTGAAAACCCCATAGCAGCAGGTGCAAAAACCCTGCCAGTCCCCGTCCCCAGCTCAGAGTTAGCAGTCGTTCAGAGTGCAGGGTGAGTCCTCAAGAAGGAGAGTTTGGCAGATTCTCACCCAGCCCCACACCTGGAAAACTTTGCAGGTTTGCAATGCCAGCATGGCTGTCTCTGCCAGAAGGAAGTTTCAGTGCATACACCTGGGCTATGCTCATGCAATGAGAGTGGAAAGGAAATAAAAATGACTCAGGATGACAATTTTATATAATCCTTTCCACAACGGCCTTTGGCTCCCATGCAAATTAGGAAGCACCCAGCCAGCTGTGGTGCTCTTCCTCATACCAGAGAGCCCTCCTTAGAGCAGGTCATGTGTCAGGAACCCCTGGGGAAGAGCAGAGCAGAAAAGGGAATGGGTGTCCCTGTGCAACCTGGAGCCATGGCCTTCTCCAGCAGCCTGAGCCGGGCCGGGTGCCAGCGGTGCAGAAGTCCCCTGGCCAACACTCTTGGCAGAGCTCGGTCCCATGTCAGCAGCTCTGCTGCACCCTGTCCCCATCCAGGGGGTTACGTACGGCACAGAAGGAACAGGGCACGGTCACCCTTCACACAACCCATCCTTTATGTGGTAAACAATGGGCTAAAATCTGTGGCCAAAATCAGTCTTGCGCTGTGACACATTGCCAGCAGATAATCAGGTGCAGATGGAAGTCTGAGCAAACTGATTCTGTCCGCTGGAAAGAAACACAAGAGTAACTGAAGCAGGTTAAAGCCACATCCTCCACCACTGTGGATTAGAAAAGGAGAGCCGTAGCTCCTGCAGCGGGGAGCAGGGGAGGCCCCACGCCTGAATTTCAGGGGTGGAAGGCAACAGCACGTGTTCCCAGGCATGTGCTCCTTCTTCCTGTGGAAATCCCCTTTGGAAAATCCAAAGGTGTCCGAGTTCAAACTGGATCCGGGCTGGGTGATAAATGAGAGGGCGAGCGGGTGTGGGGCTGTGCTGCAAACCTCCAGCCTCCCCCGGCAAGTCCTGGCAAGAGCTGCCGCCGAGTATTGGGGCTGGAACAAAAGTTGCCACAAGGGCGGGCGGGTGGGTGCTGCCACAGCCAGCCTCAAAACCCCTCTCTAGCAGCCGGGTGGCCTGGTGTTTGGGTGACAGAAGGGGAATCCCAGCCCCCCCTGACGTGCCTGCCACAACGGGTGCAGGAAATGACACCTACGTCTGCTTCCAAAATTAGCTGCAGCAGAAGGGCTGAGAGCTGCAAGCTGCTTAGACATCTTACCACTGACAAGGTGAACCACCTAAAACCCCTGAGCCTGTGACCCTGTTGGTCTACTAGGTGTTAAACGTTTCTTAAAAAGCAAACGAGGTGGATTCCCATGTATCTCAGGACGACAAAGTGGGCAATGAACCATGTCACAGACCAGGTACAGTAATCTGACTTTTTTTAATAAATACACATCTCACATGTACCAAAATAATTATAAACAAAAAAATGTACATTATTTACACAATATACAATTGCTAAAAAGTGTAGCAATTATGACACACATGGTGTGAAACACACTGTTTCCAATGCCCACAGTTAACATTATTGCTACTTTCTCCTAACAGCCAGGAGGTCACCAGTCCCTTGGTTTGTCTCCTCTGCCTGGGACACCCCACCGTGAGCAGCCGAGGTCGGTCGGTAAGGCCAGGGAGCACCACCAGCCTGGCACAAATTAACACACAGTCTCCGAGAAGATGGGGTGTTGGTATGTGCCTGCCTTGCTGTGAAAGGACACTTGTTCCTCGTGGTACTTAACTCCACAAGATCGCTCTCAGCAACTAGCAGGTCGGATGTGCAGTCTGTTCCCTCCGTAGGGTTGAGAAGATTGGCTATGTGGTTCTTTATCAGGCGGTGTGAATAATCACAGATCTCTACTGATGTTACACATCCCACTCCTGTATTTAAACACTGGCCGGAACCTGGAACTGTCCTGTTACAATTACATGCTCCTTGCTGGGCAGTGTAGTATTTCCCTGCTGTTTTTTTCCCTCCGCATTGCGACTTTCTCTTTAAATGAAGAAAGTCAGTCCTTTTCCTATACATATGTACACAGTCCCTTCTTTTCACAGAAAGTTCTGCTTCAGAATGCCAGCTGTCGTCCTCCAATAAGGCAGTCATCATATATAAGCTGCAAGAAAAAAACAAAAGGCTGTTAATGCAAAACTCTTACTGGGAGTATGATATCCTCTCTGGGATAACTGCCAAATTCTGCATGCCCTGACTTAGGCAGTGTATAAAATTTCCACACTGAACTGGTTACATTTGCCATTTAACAGCACTCAGATCGTTACAAAAACAAATGCTGGGGAGGTGAAAACCACCCACTAGCTTGAAATTTATCTCACGAGGTTCTGTAGGTGTCAGCAACAACTCTGAATTCAGAGTACCACGTTGCGTGAAGTTAACCTCCATTCCTCCATGTTACTTCTTATATTTTATTCTTATTTTACTTATATGCCTGCCCCAACTGCCATCTTGCTGATGGTTGATAGCATAACCTTACTTTATGGGCTATTTAAACCTGTCTGTTATACAGGTATAACAGGTCACTAGACTATGTCATCAGAGCAGCATCAAAAAAAACCAAACCTACACAGGGCAGGATTTTCCCCTTCTCTTGAAAAGGTGCAAATAGCTACTTACTTCATCCTCTGTGAATTCAGCCTCCGATTCACTGCTCTCCTCATCCTCACTTTCTGGCAACATCTGCAGGTCGGCCGTGGTCAGCTGCTTCAGCTGTTCTTGTATGCTGGAATTGTCTCTTCCCCACGTGAGCTGATAGGGGGAATAGCCCTGGTAGGTCACTTTGTTCACGTCTGCCCCATGCTTCACTAGAAGTGACACCAGGTCTGAATTCTGCAGGTCGACAGCCAAATGTAGTGCCGTTCTGCCATTGCATGGCTCCTGTGTGAAAAAAAACACAAGGTTTGGCATGTTAGGAGTGCCAGAGCTGGTGCCAGACCTGTTGATTCTTATGACTATGCAATCCTGCTCAGTTAAATTTACGGTATACATTACATACCTGAGCATTTACATCTGCTCCCAAGGACAACAAGTATTCAACAATAGCCAGGTATCCTTGAATAGATGCCAAATGGAGACATGTATGTCCTGCAAAACACAAATGAAGGGAAAATTTGAGTAAGTCTAGCCAAATGCCCTATCATTCAGTTAAAGCCAAGATGATAGGACAGGACTATTTCTAGGTTTGCAATTCATCTGTGGCAAAAAGGTGTTTTCCAGAAGAGCTTTCCAACTTCCAGTAAGTATGAATAACAGGTTGGATTTTGGAAAGATTTCTTAGAGGCTTTATTCCAGTGCAACTTACCGTAACCAAAATAAAAGGAGCACTTAAAAAGTACTCACTAAAAATGCAAAATTCAAAGCCACAAGAGCCAATAACCAACAGTGAGGAGGCCTACAAGGCAGTAACATTTTAAAGAAGTCAGACACTGCTGTGTGCTTTGGGCTCCTCAACTCTCAAATGGGCATAACAATCCTTCTCCACTTCTCCAGAGATCTCTGAGCTCTACGGGACATCAACCCTACCCTCAGTACAGCACACCGACATCGATGTACAGCAGCGTGCCCGTACCGTTGTAGTTGGTGGCCTGCAGGACAGCGAGGAGGTGGTGTGGCTGGCAGTACTGCGTGAGGACACTGACGCTCCTGAGGGAGCCCTGATGGCAAGCGATGTGCAGGGGGGTATTTCCTCGGAAGTCCCTGATTTCCAGGTCGCACCCGGCCTTCAGAAGATGCTCAGCAATTTCAGGCTGATCGGTGATCACTGCCAGGTGAAGAGGAGTCTGCAGGCAAAAGAGAAAACGCAGACCTGTAAGTTACACTGCAAACTTGGGCAGCAACATCTGGACAAACAGACCCCTTGACTACTTGGTGATTTGTGCCCCCAACTAATAACACACCCCATTAACTCAGTTCTTTATGCTTCCCAACATAGGGCATTGTTGTGCTTCAGTCGGGAAGTGATGAACTTAGGGCTCTCTGGATACTGAACAGTCAAACCGTATGAAGGGTATCATTAACATCCCAATAAAAAAGGATGCAACCCATTGCATCATATCAGAAAAATGCGGGCATTAAATGCCACTTGCAGGGGAGAGGAAGCATTGTACTAACACCAGCTGGAGCCAGCTGGGGACTTTCCTGAATGTAGGCTTTGGTTCAAGTAGGCTTTGATTTAATTGATTCCATCAATTTAAAAAAAAAAAAAAAAAAAAAAAAGGTGCTCTTTTTTTTCTGTTTTTTGAGGGGGGGTGTGGATTCCCCAGAGGGCAGTTGTGGGGGTGGTGGGGGATGATCCAGATTTGGGGCTGCAGAGGTGGAAGTACCTGGCTGAGGTTGTTCTGAAAGTTCAGGAAAGCCCGGTCGCCGGCCGTCTGCCGGATCACCTCCAGGCTCAGGGCTTTTTCCTCGTGAATAATCGCCAAGTGGAGAAAACTGCAGGAAAACAACTCCATCAGTAAAGCAACCGACCCTCGCGAAAGCCCCCCACGCCACGCCCCCCCCCGGCGCGGCGGGCGGAGGGGCGAGGCGGGCCCGCGGCACGGTGACGGGCGGTGTCGCAAGCCGGGGCTTTCGGCGGCCGGGGCTTTCCGCCGGCGCGGAGCCGCCTCTCCCTGGCGCCCCTCCAGGGACTTTCCGCCCTCCCTTCCCCTCCCCTCCGCGGCCCAGCCCGGCGCCTCCCCGCCGACAGCACATCCTGCCGCGTCCCCCCCCCCCCCCCCCTCCCCCGTGTCCGTGTGTCCGTCCCGCTCCCCCCCTCAACCCCAATCGCCCCCCTCACTTACGTGTCCCCGTCCTCCGTCAGCTGCTGAGCCCAGGCGGGCGGTTCGCGGGGCTGCAGGCGTATGTCCTCCAGCTCCTTTACCAGCTGCCGGTACTCCTCCTCCTTCATGGAGTCCAGGCCGCTGTCGTGGCGATCGTCGAGCGGGAACCCGCCCTGACGCTCTTTCCTCAGGGGCTCGTAGCCCTCCATTCCCGGCTCGGCGAGGCGGCGGGCGCTGATCATGGCGGCGGGGCTGCGAGTGAGCGGCGGCGGCGGCGGCGCTGGGCATATACACCCCGGCGAGGGGATTTCTGCGGGGGAGGAGCCGCCGAGGACGGGAATTTCCAGCCACTCAAAGCCCGACCGACGGGTCTGGTCCTGCTCGGCGCCGCCGGCGGTGGCAGGGAGGGCGGATCGGATCGGGCCGGCCCGGCCCCTTCCCTGCCCTCCCCTCCGCCGCCCCGGGAGGAGTCGGCCCGGGTGGGGATTTGGCGTTTTTCCACCTCGGGGGGGGGGGGAAGTACTCGCCTCCCCGGCGTCCCCGTCGGTACTTCCCTGCTGCGCCCCGGGCGGCTGCCACTTGCCGGCTTTCCCGGGGGGCTTTCCCTGCCCTACCCGGCCGGGGGGGGGGGGCTCCCCGCGCCCCCTCCCCGGCAGGGCCGCGGGTGTGCGCACAGCTGCGGGGGTCCTTGCGGGCTGGGGACCACCCAAACAGGGTGGGTGCTGCCGGCCTGGGGGGCACCCTGTATTCCCCCCCCCCCCCCCTTTGGCTTTCCACCAGCTCGTTCGCTAAGGGGGGCTGTGGGGTGTCCCTGGCCAGGAGGCCGGTCTGTGAGCACACGTGGGAGAAGCTCCACCACCCATGAGGTGCAGCGTAGGCTCCTCCACGGCCCTCATCTACTCGGCAGCGGATCCCTGACCCTGCGAGGATCATTTTGAGGCCTGGCGAGAGGGACTTCCTTAGGAATCGTTAGCCAGCGCTCCGATGACGAGCAGGAACGGGCTTTGTAGCCAGCCCAGGGGAGCGAGGTCATGATAAAAATTCAGGGAACCAAACACCCCCCCCTAAAGTGATGCTGAGGTGGCAGCTGCATCAGCGTGCCGCATGTCTGCCCTCCTGTTGTGTGTGTGGGGGGCAGTAACCGCTTTTTGGAAAGATTCAGATGGGATTGCACACGACTGGTACACACTGTCTGGATATCTGCAAGTGTGCAGGTGCTGCCTCAGCGTTAGAAGATTTCACATCTCTGCTGTGGAAGTTTTCACTCTGTTTCAGTGTAGCGGGGTCAGGAATGAACAGGAGAATTCTGTGTCACTCCTGTACATCCAATTCTGGTCCAAGACTAAGCAGGCCTCTCTCAAAAGGTACAGATCCATAACAGAACAAATCTTTTCAAGAAGAAATTACATCTTCTGCCATTATTATTTCTTTCCCTGGTTATTCTTAGTGATTCTTCTCTCCTCCTTTTTACTGCTGTCATGCCATCTGCGGGTAATGAAAACTGGATAAATGCAGGCTCCCACATGGATAAAAGGCATGGTCTGCAGGGCTGACAGCGCTGAATTTTTCCCTGGTGAATTTTTGCTTCTACTTCTCAGATGTGGGGGATTCCCATGAAGAATTTTTCTTCTCTTGCAACTATTGCGGGCCTTGCTGAGTAACACTGTGCTTTTTTCCTTTTGTCATTTTCCCATGGGATAGCATCCCTTTGAACAAGAACTTATGAGAAAATCCAATGATGAAAGGGGGAGCCAGAGGAGAGGGCAAATGCCTGACTTTCTGTGAGCAGATGTTCCTGATTTTCAGCCCAGCTGTGCCATTCCTGGACTTTTTTTTTGTTATTTGTCGCTTGGCCTGGGACAACCCAGTGGTTCTTTTGGGCAGGTTTAGAAAAAAGCCGTACAACTCTTTCTGTAGGTTAAGGGTTATGAAAGTTTTGCAAGCTTCTTGAAACAGTTTCCCCTTTTTAATGTAAATTGCCAGGGGAAATTTAATTAACAAGTGAATCTCCTCCTACCTGCTTCCCTGCAAAGAAGGGAGGATGAGAGTTGGAAAGCGAGCTCCTGCTCTGACTAGCAGGGGAATCAAGCCCAGCCAGGACTACACTGCCCCTGGTTGGGGTTTTGCTAGAACCACGCAGAAATTGAACTTTAAAACTTCCTGTCCTCACTGAGATGTCTGGAAACTGAGTTCAGTGAAGCGAGTTCTTTGCCTCCTTCTATAAGTGACCTCCAGCTGCTTTCACAGGCAAACGCAGGGATATTTTTAGCGAGCATTTGCCAGCAGAAACCTCTTTTCAGAGGCACACGAGATGCTTTTATTTTGTGTGAGTTTTAACTCTGCGGTACTGTAGCCAGTAGTAGGTGGCGGAAAGGAGATGGAAAATGTTTTCTGGATGGAAAGTCGCGCCGAAGCCAGCCCACTTCCTGCCCCAGGGAGATGCTGCCGCCCCACAGCTGCTCCGCAGCCTGGCCCTGGGTGTCGTGGGGGGCCCCAGACGTGGGCCAGCGCCCCTGGGTATTAGGCAGCCAAAAGCACACATCGAGAAGAGATTCAGCCATAAACCCTAATCCACATGTAAAGTAGCAGCCAGCCGCAGATGCAGAGGCAAGCGGAAGCCTTGTTAACATTGAAACAAATAAAGCTGCTCTCTTCTCTGTAACTCCTCACAGCCAACAGGGTCATTGTACAATATTTGCCTAAAAGGAATGGCATATAGAAGGCTGTATAAAGCAAAGTTTTGAACCAGTGGTGATGGTCATTGAAGCTGCTTTTGTGCTACTGGCGTACTGTTCTTTTTTTTTTTTTTTTTTTTTGAAAATTAACAGATTCTAGCAGTTCTTCTATTTTCTACATTGTCCAAAGAGAAAAATAATAGAGAGAAACAAACTCAGCTTTTGGATATATGACTTTTGGATATCAGGTGGAGCCTATCACAACTCTGATTTCCTACATGGCCTGTCACCCAGGTGTTGCAGTTCTGGGAGGCTCTGACATGCCCCCAGGGGACGGAGCAGCTGGACCTATCCAGGGACAGGGGTTAGCCCTGCTGAAATAGGAGCAAAACTGTATGAACACTGCAGTCATCTGTGCCAAACTGAACCCTCTTTGTCTTCTTGTGTATTCAGGTTTAATACCTCTGATACATCTGCATTAATTTCACAGGAGTGTTTTTTATGCTCATCAGCTTGAGAGGAGACCAATGTTCTCTGCATTTTTTTATTTGGGATTCTGTTAGCAGTCTCCACTGCCTGGTCCAGTGGGCACTTCAAGACCAAGGGACTACCTAGAAGTCACTTTAACAATGTAAAAGGCTGTAACCACAAGAGGTGGTTTTGCACCTGATACCTAAGGGCTAGATTTTGCAAAATCCTCCTCTGCTCTGGGTGCCCTGAGCACCCAATTGGCAGAGCTGTGGGGCTGCAGGGATGAGATGTTTGTTTTCATTCTACCTTGCAGAAAGCAGCTGGCAGGGCTCCGAGAAGCAGCCTTGCGTGCCTGAATACTGAAAAGGGGCAGTAGGGTTTTAATCAGTTTTTAAAGTACATGAAAGATTCTCGTGCTGCTGCCTCCAGCAAACACATTAAACTGTAATTTCCTGATTGCCACACTAATCATGAGAACCGTCTAGTGCTGTCGCTGTGGTGCTGTTGATTTACCAGAGTTGGTCCCTCAACTTCATCCTTTTGTGATTGCTGCTGCAGATACCTATTAACTGTTTCCTCCCATTTAATCTCGAGGACTATGCATGGCTCTCAGTAAACATACCAGAAAATGTAGTTCACAACATCCAGCAGGATCTTGGCCCAGGCTGTTGTAACCAAAAGCAAAGCAAATCCATAAAGTAAACCTGCTGCCTGCACGTGTATGCGCTTGTGCAGATACCCCTTCGGAACAGAACTCTGGTTTATTGCTCCAAAAGTCTACAGACTTTGCTAGTGCAATGGAAGCCAGGGAACACTTAGCATTGTCATTCTGATAACATTTTGCAATTGAAATCCACATATCTCAGGCTCCTGTTTACAGCTGCTCTAGAGGTAAGAGCGGGCAGCTCCAAACAATTAGTCCAGTGGTAAACAAGGAAAACCTATTTCCCTCCTGCTTTCTAATAATAATATGACTGTCACTAATTTGAAAGCTTTTAAAAAAAAATGGCCAAATGAGAAGAAAGAAAGTTAAGCAAGGTCCATTTTTGTCATCGGGAATGAAGGCTGATGGTGTCACATGTGCCATGTGGCCTGTATCCCTACCTCCTCAGACTTTTTAATTGGAGACTATTATGGGACAGTCAGATACTCCAAAAAGCAGTGTGATGGATGCAGTAGGAAGCATTTCTCCACCTTATTTGAGCTCATATAATATCCACTGCGGGGGGTAATTTTTGGCACATAAAGTCAAGGTCCAAATTTGGGCATTTAAAATCCTACCCATGTTCCACAGATACAGAAATGGAGTTAACTAGGGTGTCCTGGCCAGAGTCTAACGGACCTAGATTTCTGGCTGGCTACACTAGCCTCTGTTTTTATTTTTAGACTGCAGCTTATTTTTGGCATCTCTTAAACTGGTGTTTTGTGTCCCCGGGAAGATCTACATTTCTCTGCGTGAACTGTGGGCTGTTTATATATCAGTTGGTTGCATTTCTGGGGATCCTTAGGGATGAGATGTACTATATCAATTTAAACTGCTTTTATTGTTATGCCTGAAGGGTAAATATAGGTCAAGTCATTTGAAATAGGCTACCACTTGGAAGACGATTTTCTCTGGTGTCATTCCCATTTCTCATGTGGAAGTTTTGTTAAAAGCATGTTGCTTGCAAAGCTTTAAGCTGATGCTCACTGCTTGATGCAGCAAAGCTTGCTGCCATGTGTGTTTCATGTAGAAAAGAAGAGACTTGGGCTGGGGGAAGAAAAACAGAGGCAGGTCTCCTGAGCTTGTTGTAGAACTTTCCCTTCAGCAATATGAATAACGGTGCTCCCCATCAGCACAGCCCACTCTGTGATTGCACAGTGGCAGCACCTGACGGGAAAAATATGAACTGGGAGCATGCTAATAATTAAAAAGGGACTTTCCCCCTGCAGGCAGCTGTGACATTCGGTAATGCTACAGTCTTCTAGTTATTCCCAGTAAGTAGGAATCTTGCAAAGGGGGAGAGAGTGGCACGGTGGGACTATGCAGAAGGGCGACCTGGTGAAGATTTGGAAGGAAGAGCACGGCCTGGCAGAGGGTGAGCATGGGCAGCTGGTGGGGCTGTGCCTAGGAGGGAGCTGCTTTCCTTTCTGTTTGGATTATGGATCTAGAAGGTCAAAGCTGGACCTGGATACACATTTCTGTGTGGTACTAGATGATATTTTGAGCAAACCGAAGACGTGAACTGAGTTACGCTGGGCTGCCCAAGCAAGAGGCAGTGCATGGGCAGGGGGGGCTGTCTGTCTCAGTCCATAGCTTGCTCTGAGC